TGAGTGGACGGCTCAAAACAATTTGTCAAGCCACCCCAGAGTGGTGCAGGACTTATTTATGGCAGGAAAACAAATAAAGGACAGTAAAGTAAAAAATATTTCAAAACTGACATACAACCTCTAATTCAAGGGGACTGGAATACATAACATATAGCTGGAGATTCTCATAACTGGGTGGGTTATTTGGCACAGCATTTCAAGAAATTACTTGTGGGGATGGACTAGTATATAACTGCAGGGAAGAGTGTGGTGCTGTGGTCTAAACCACTGAGCCTCTTGGGATTGCTGATCAGAAGGTCAGCAGTTTGAATCCTCACAACAGAGTGAGCTCCTGTTGCTCTGTCCCAGCTTCTGCCAACTTAGCAGTTTGAAAGCATACCAGTGCAAGTAGATAAATAGGTACCACTGCAGCGTGAAGGTAAACAGTGTTTCTGTGCGCTCTGGCTTCTGTCCCGGTGTCATGTTGCTCCAGAAGCGGTTTAGTCATGCTGGCCACATGACCCGGAAAGCTGTCTGTGGACAAACGCTGGCTCCCTCAGCCTGAAAAGCGAGATGAATGCTGCACCCCATAGTCGCCTTTGACTAGACTTAACCATTCAGAGGTCCTTTACCTTTACCTTAGTCTATAACTTGCGTAACTAACCAGGGGATGACAATAACCCAGAATATCATATCCATAAAGGCACAGAATGGAATGGGTAAATGTCTTCTGCAGCCCAAGAGGTGCTGAACTGTAATGTGTTGTTGTCACGCACCAAAAATGTTAGCCTACATCCTACTAAAATATATTTTAAATTGCTAATAATATATTTCACGACAATCATGTTCCACTAGTGATCTTTAACATCAATGGAGCTTCATGTAAGAAAGTACAAAGTGATGCACATGGCGGGGACGGACCCTAATTTCACATATAATTTCACATGTGGTCTGACTTGATGGTGACCGGCCAGGAATGAGACATTGAATAGCTTTATCAAGATGCTGACTCGGTGCAAAAGGTAAACTCCATGCTTGGGATTATTAGGAAACAGATAGAAAGCAAAAGTGCCAATAACACAATGTTGTTTAGTCGTTTAGTCGTGTCCGACTCTTCGTGACTCCATGGACCAGAGCACGCCAGGCACTCCTGTCTTCCACTGGTCAAACTCATGTTTGTAGCTTCGAGAACACTGTCTAACCATCTTGTCCTCTGTTGTCCCCTTCTCCTTGTGCCCTCCATCTTTCCCAACATCAGGGTCTTTTCCAGGGAGTCTTCTCTTCTCATGAGGTGGCCAAAGTATTGGAGCCTCAGCTTAAGGATCTGTCCTTCCAGTGAGCACTCAGGGCTGATTTCCTTAAGAATGGATCGGTTTGATCTTCTTGCAGTCCATGGGACTCCCAAGAGTTTCCTCAAGCACCATAATTCAAAAGCATCAATTCTTCAGCGATCAGCCTTCTTTATGATCCAGCTCTCAATTCCATACATCACTACTGGGAAAACCATAGCTTTAACTATATGGACCTTTGTTGGCAAGGTGATGTCTCTGCTTTTTAAGATGCTGTCTAGGTTTGTCATTGCTTTCCTCCCAAGAAGCAGGCGTCTTTTAATTTCGTGACTGCTGTCACCATGCAATAACACAATGCAGTTATACAAATCTGTGGCAAAACTATACTGTGTATAGTTCTGATTGCCTCACCTCAAAAAGGATATTGTACAGTTGGAAAAGCTTCACCAAAGGGCAACCAAAGTGATTAAGGTGCTGGAACAACTTCCCAATTTTAGAAAGGCTACAATATTTGGGGGGTTTTAGTTTAGAAAATAGTGAGTAAAGGGACAACATAACAGAGGTGTAAAAAATTAAGTTACACGTGGTGTGAAGAAAGTACAGTGGTACCTCAGGTTAAGTACTTAATTCATGCCGGAGGTCTGTACTTAACCTGAAACTGTTCTTAACCTGAAGCACCACTTTAGCTAATGGGGCCTCCTGCTGCTGCTGCGCCACCGGAGCCCGATTTCTGTTCTCATCCTGAAGCAAAGTTCTTAACCCGAAGCACTATTTCTGGGTTAGCGGAGTCTGTAACCTGAAGCATATGTAACCTGAGGTACCACTGTAGATCCTGGGATAGCTCAGTTGGTAAGAGCATTGGACTCTTGATCTCGCAGTCGTGGGTTCGAGCCTCACCTTGGGCAAAAGTTTCCTGCACTGCAGGAGATTGGACTTAGATGACCCCTGTGGTCCCTTCCAATTCTACAATTCTATGGTTCCCTTTCTTACAGGTATGAGAGAACTGGTGTCATCCAATGAAGACGGAGCATTTGGGGCAGACAAAAGAAAGCGCTCCCACAACGTATAGTGATGGCAGCCATCTTAGAACCGTAGAAATGTTGAGATGGAAGGGACCACGAGGGCCATTCAGTCCAACCCTCTTGCGATGCAAGAATCTTGGATGGCATTAAGAGGATTAGAGAACTTCATGGGGAATAAGGCTATCAGTGACTACTAGCTATGAAGGCTATGTTCTACCTCCACGGTCAGAGGTTGCATGTCTCTGAATATTAGTTGTAAGAGAATACAGTGGTGCCTTGGTTCTCAAACGCCTTGGTACTCAAAGCCTTGGTTCCCAAACGCCGAAAACCCTGGAAGTCTTCCGGTTTTCGAACGTTTTTTTCGGAAGCCGAACGTCCGATGCAACTGTCAGCTATTGTTTCCAGGGCACCTGCACCAATCAGAAGCTGCGCCTTGGTTTTTGAACATTTTGGAAGTCAAACAGACTTCCGGAACGGATTAAGTTTGGCGCTTTCGTTTTTGCTATTTATTTTATGTTGTTTTTGAGGCTTTTTCAGTTAATTTGTTTTTGTGACTGTGTGGAACCCAGTTCAGCTACTGATTGATTGTGTTAGTGCGGAAATGGAAAAGCCCCCATCCAAACAATGACTATCATCAGTAAGAACAAATTTTAATTTTTATCATCTACAATACTTTCTTATTTATTTTATAGTACAATACATTGATCACTGCTTTCATTTTATGGATCAATGGTCTCGTTAGATAGCAAAATTCATGTTAAATTGCTGTTTTAGGGGATTTTTTGAAAGTCTGGAACGGATTTATCCATTTTGCATTACTTTCTATGGGAAAGTGTGCCTTGGTTTTGGAACACTTTGGTTTTGGAACGTACTTTTGGAACAGATTAAGTTTGAGAACCAAGGTACCACTGTAAAGGACAAAATAGGTCTCTGCCAGATCTGATAGGGCTCATCTTATGGCCTTATAAAAACAAACACCTTATTGGTTTTTAAATCTGTACTTCGCAGGCTACCGCGGAGTAAATGCAATTAACTAGCTTTTGACGGTGTAGTTAGTATAACAGTGGAGGAGACAGGGCTGTAAAGTGCAACTTTGGAAGGAGAAATGGAGTGTTACAAACAACAAATGTCACTCTTTTCACTTGGGAAAAGCTGTAGGATATACAGGTGTGTTTGGGTGCCTTACCTTGCAACTAGGATGTGAGGGGAACAGCTCTAAAGAACCTATTGCAGCTGATAAACATAAACACAGTACTAAAACAGGGCCTGAGCTGAAGATCTTCACAGGCACTGGAGTTTATGAACAAAATCCAGCCAGCACTTAAAATGTCAATCTTGCTTAACCTAAAATTTATTATCTTGGCTGCATGATTATCACAGTATTTCCAATAGCTGGTTGAAATACAATTCTTATCTGTCCCTTCCACTTTACAAGCATTTTTTATTTTTTTTTAGCTTTCCAAAAAGCGGAAACAATCACTTTTCTTCAGTATCTGAAAAGCATTTGTGAGCTAAAGTGGATTTGGAAGAATGAAGTGTGGTCTAGTCTCTAGAGAGCTCTTTTCAGTTCATTTGCTTTTGCCTGCACTTTGAGAAGCCAATGGTGCAGGTAAGTATGTAATTAAGGGCTTATTTAAAATGTTGATTCTTTTACATGTCAGCTTGCTGCAGCATGCCCACAAGGAATAATAACCCACAGAGAGTTTACATACTCCTGGTTTTCTATTGTGATTTGGGCAGTGTAAGATTTCTGTTTTCTGGATCACGCCTGTCTCGTGTTACAGATTATGTGGCTTGTGTGTGTGCCACACACATCGCCACACACGTGCAGCGAGGCCTGAGTTTGCTCAACTCCAAATCAGTGTGTGCCCTTAAGACCATGTTCTGGAAAAGCAACAGTGTACCTTTCTGCAGTCGTCCCTGAAGCCACTTACAGTATAATGAACTATTAGCTACATTTCTGAAGTGTGTAGACTTTCAGCATTACACTTTTACCATTGCAAATGAAATGCATTGCTTTTTGCTAGGTTAACCATCATATTTTTCTGCACATCTACTCAGGAGTAAGCCTCACTTAAGTCAACAGGCCTCAGGATTGCAGCCTAAAGGTATTCAAATGTTAATTGCATGCCTTAAAAAAAATAAATCACCTAGGTAGAGCAAGTCACACCACCACCGCTGGAGTCTGATTTTACGTTTGTATAAAATTATGTGCAAAAGGTAAGTTTGAAGGAACGCATATTGCGCATGCCTATGAAACAGCATTTTAGCCCTACTTTCGTTATGTTTTTGCGCGGCTGTTTTTTCTTGTTTTTTAAAGTGGGACTCCATTTTAGCTAGATTGTTTTAGACTGCATCACTATAAAATGAACTAGCAACGGTGCAGCAATCAGCTTTTCCTGGAACCAATTAAATTTTGAGGGATTGCCCGCAATCCTGCGACGGTGCAAACAACTTTTACTGTACTGTATACGCCAGAATAGCTGCAGCACCAGGCACTACAGCAAGCACACCTCAAGTTCTGACTCTTGGTTTCCGCTTGCCAACAGAACCTCCTCTAAACTTGCAGAGAGCAATTTCCTCCCGGGGCGAACATGCGGCTCGGCCTCCCCCTCCCCTCTCCTTCTATGCAAATACTTCATGGCTTATTTCGCGCCACTGAGCTAGGTCCTTGCAGCACCACAAAAACACCAGAGGAAATAGAAAATAAAGTGGGGGAAGGTAGGTTCCGCAGCCACGCGCAATTTATCCGCGGTTGAGCTCCGGGCTTTGCAAGGAGAATGAAGACATTGCTGGCGCCTGAGCTCCGTGGCAAAGATCAGGATGCGGCAGGACCTCTTTCTGGACCTTCCAGGACTCCAGCAGTTGGCGGGGGAAACTGCGCGTAATCCCCGCCCTCGAGCAGCTTTGGCGCGAGTCGGCGGAGCGTTTGGTCTTTGCTCCTGCGTCCCGCGGAAAGAGGCCGCGCTGCGCCTTTCGAGTGGGCAATTCCGCCGTCGGCAGCATGGACCCCTTCGGCCTGCAGGTAGGGGCGTCGGGGTGAGAATTAAGACTTGGGGGCCACGAAGTTCCGCTGGAATCCCTGGAATTGGCTTGAGTAAAACTGCATAGGATGGGGGGCTGCGCGGATGAAGAGAACAGGCGCAGCCTCCTTTTCAGCCACAGCAATTTTTAATTTTTTTATAGTTTGCTCTTCACCGGGCATTTTAAATCCCTAAGTTGGAAAAGGTCCCACAAGCTCCTTTAAAAGAGGGGATGAACTATGAAACGTGGGGCGTTCTGGATTTTTTTTAAAAATGCAAACATAGCCGGGGTTGTTCGTTTTGTTGCTTATTTGCTCTTATTTTTAAGTCGCATGAAAGCGTGCTTTTGGATCGCGGCCATGCTAGCTGCGCGCGTTCCTCTGCAAGCTGCGCGCCAGCCGCTCTCTTTCCCAAGGGCTTGCATGCATCAGGATCGCGCCTTTCACGCTGCAATCCTGCGTACGTTTAGTGGGAACTGAAGAGCGAATAATAATAAATAAAAAAATCATGCGCTAGAAATATACCCAGGGAGAGTCTATTTTGCTTCTAGCAGCTAACAAGTTTGAGGAGCAATCCTGAGATTTCTGGATCTGTCGAAATAGGTGGAGGAAGGCGGCTGGCTTTTAGGGCAGGCTGCGACTCGTTTCGGTTTAACCCCGATGTCTTGTTCTCCGGGCCCCTACCAAGGAGAAGGGAGCATAACGTTTTTAAGCACTGCATCCCCCGGAATCCCCTGCAGTTTTGAATGGGGGGCGCGCGCAGCCCCGGGGTCCTGCAAAAACTGCACGCGCTTACTCGGAAGGCAGCCCCGTGGAACTCGTTGGGGTTTACTTTGGAGTAAGCCAAAAGCAACGCTGCGCCTTTTTGGTGCGCTTTTTAAATAGGTAGCCGTGCTTCCGCTAGCCTGACCAAACATTTCCCCATATCAAAACGTCTCTCTCCCCCCCCCCGGGTGTTACTTCCCCTCTTGTTCCGGGATATTTTTCCAACTGCAAGCTTTCTTGGGGAGAAAAATGGGACCGGGAAAACCACTCCCAATTCAGGGGGCAATCTCGTGCGTATAGTCCATTCCTCTCATGCAAAAGATGGAGGAGGGCCTCTTATCCCTCCCTTCTCCGCAATTCAGCGGAGGGGGGCGAGCCCCTCTTTTCCCGCTCTTTAGCGCGCTCCCCCACAGCGCTTTTATCTTCTCTCCGCCCGCCCACCAGCCACGTGAGCCGCCTGGGACTTTCGGATTCACCCCTTTATGGATTCGGAGTTAGGCTTCGCCCGCGTGGTCGCTGCCTGCCCGGGCTGTGGGGGCCCAGGAGGCAGCTATGGGGCTGGCGAAGGTGGATACAATTCTGTAAAGTTCCAGCTTTCCGCAAAAGTGGGGGGGCTAAGTAGCTGCTTTGAGGAAGAACCCGCAGCGCAAGCAGCTGAAACGGCCATTGGAGCAAATGGGGAGTAGTAGAGAGATGCCTTGAGTCCTCATTTGTACTTACTCAACTTGTGAATAATCTTTGCCGCCTTGCAGCATTTAACTCATGAACAGGCTCTGGCCTGCCTGCGAGGCTTGTTTTCAGGCCTGAAAGCAGCCCCCCCATAAATACCTTAATCCCAGATTTATGACTCTTGCATGTGAAGTAATTATGGTTACAGTAAATCATTGGAAAGGAAAGTCACTAGTCGTCCCAGGCAGGGTTTTGCTAATTTATTGGTTCTTTGTGCGTCAGGATGGAGCCCAGGAATTGGAATAACAGATTTCAAAGGAAATAAGTGGTTCAGAACATGCCTTGTTTCCCAAACTTGGGTCTCCAGTTTTGTTTTTTTGGACTACAACTCCCAACATCCCTAGCTAGCAGGACTAGTGGTCAGGGATGATGGGAATTGTAGTCCAAAAACGGCTGGAAAGCCAAGTTTTGGGAAACATGGGTCTAGCTTGGAATTCCTTCAAGGCCTGACAGTGTTACTTGCATGTTTCTCAGAGCACCTAATACAGTGCAGATACTAGAATTCACTTCTTAATTACTTACTGGTTCACTTATGCTGACCACTTGGATTTTATTTTTTTTAACTGCCCTATCTCCAAGATCCTCAGGACCCTGTATATGGTGTTTCACTTCCACATGTTTAGCCTCACATTGACCCTGGGAGGTAGGTTGGACTGAGATATAAGTGATTGGCTTATATGAAAAGTTAACTCGTGAGTTTCATAGCTGGTCTCCCAAGTCCTAGCCCTGTACTCTAACCACTATACCACACTTGCTTTCTAATAGTCCAGTTATCCTAAAAGTTGACACCTTCATCCTGTACCACACCAGCTGTTTTCTTTATTTGCCACCATAGCCTTCCTCCTAATTTTAAACTTAGCTGCTCACAGTTAAGCTCCATTGAATTGAATGAGGAAGACATCTGAGGAAGAGTCTTCAGAATGATAAACGTTATACTAAAGTCTGTGCTTTGGATGTGTTCCCCTCAAGTTTTAGAATTCCTATACAGTGGTGCCTCGCAAGACGAAATTAATTCGTTCCGCAAGTTTTGTCGTCTTGCGATTTTTCCGTCTTGCGAAGCACGGTTTCCCATAGGAATGCATTGAAAATCAATTAATGCGTTCCTATGGAAACCGACTTGAGACCAGGTCCGGGGACAGTCTGTCCCCCGACCTCTTCTGAAGGCGGGGGGGGGGACCAAGGGCTTTTCTTCCCACCCCCAGCATTTTAAAAAACCCCGGGACAGCGGGGGACTTCTCCGCTGTCCGGGGCGATCTTAAAATGCTGGCGGGCGGGAGCGAAGCCTCCGCTGCCGCCCGCCAGCATTTTAAAAAGCCCCGGGACAGCGGGGGACTTCTCCGCTGTACCGGGGCGATTTAAAAGCCCCTGGGAAGGCAGGCAGGGGGGACAAAGACTTTTGCCCCCCGCCCGCCTTCAGAAGAGGTCCAGGACCTCTTCTGAAGGCGGGCGGGGGGCAAAAGTCTATGCTCCCCCCTGCCTGCCTTCAAAAGCCGTCCGGGACAGCGGAGAAACACGCAGCGTGTTTCTCCGCTCTCCCGGGAAGGCAGGCAGGCGGGAGCAAAGACTTTCGCCCCCCGCCGGCCTTCAAAGAGGGACCTCTTCTGAAGGCGGGCGGGGGGCGAAAGTCTTTGCTCCGCCCCGCCTGCCTTCAAAAGCCGTCCGGGATAGCGGAGAAATGAAGGCTGGCGGCGGGAGGAAGTCTCTCCGCCCGCCGCCAGCCTTCGGAGGAGGTCCGAGGACAGTGGGGAAGACGCGCTGCGCTTCCCCGCTGTCCCGGAGATTTCCCTATGGGCTTTCGTCTTGCGAAGGAAGCCCATAGGGAAATTCGTTTTGCGAAGCGCCTCCAAAACGGAAAACCCTTTCGTCTAGCGGGTTTTCCGTCTTGCAAGACGTTCGTCTTGCGGGGCACCACTGTACATTTTTTTAAAAGGTCTGCATGAAGTGGGAATTACTTTTGCACTTTGCAAACTATTATGATATAAGTAGGGGCATGAGAAAACTATTACTGGAGCTGCAATCTTTTGCCCATTTGCCCGCAACTGTTGTCCACTCAGAAATAAGCTTCATTGAGTTCATCTGGTAGACTATATAAGGATCCTGCGCTTCATATTTACAATTAATTTTATTGTCGCTTATCTATGTGGTTTTGTTTTGTGCTGGTGTGCTTGGTTTGGACAATTTTCTGACATAGTTGATGTTTAACATCCTGGATCATTTGCAGGAGGTTTGCAAAAAGTGCTTTGGCTCCATGCACTTTGAATACAAAATATCTGATGGTGTTTGTCTTAATTTCTTTCATTTTTTTAAAAAATGCAGTTATTGTGAACAACCACATTTATGTAGGAGTGAGATGCACTGAATTTCCAGGGACTTATGGTGTATAGGACTGTAGCCCAAACCCTTTCTTCAGTTAGACTGCAGAGTGTTATCATGTATGGCTACATAAAATGGTTAAGTAATTGTGAAGAGCGTCTGATAAGGATGGAGTGATATTTGAGGAAATCTTGAAAGGCTTCAGTGCAAAAGTGATAATGTACAGAGGTAAACTTAAATGGGCAAAAAAGCGTTTAATATAATAGTTCCTCTTCGTTTCCAAAAATGTTCATGTCTTTAGAAAAATGTCAATATTTTTGAAGTTTGCATATCCAGGCATTATGTGTGGAACACACCTCTGAACTCTAAAGTTGGATTTGTAACTCACCCAATGGCTCATTTACCTGGTGGACAGAACTTGTAACCTGCAATAAGAGCCGCTTCACATAAAACTCTTCAGCTGCACCAAGCTGCGCAGCCACAGACTGAATTTGCCACGCTACTGCCAAATCTAGGTGAATTAAAATTTGTGGCAGTGCAGTCACATGAATGGCTGGCCATAAGCTGAAGTGGTTGGGAGTGTTAAAGAGTAGGTTGGATGAGAAAGCACAGCTGCCATTGGCTGAAACAGTCAAATGAATAAGGTTGGCAAACTTAGCAAGAATAAGGTGCATTTCCTATTTTTAGTCATGCTATTGCTTCAATAACTGGAACTGGTAGATATGTTTTACATTTTAGAAATTTGAGACACATCTGAAATCTTTGTTTTAGATGGTTGAATTAACCCCCCCCCCCAAAAAAAACCACACACCTTACAATGCTTGTTGACAAAACACTTGAAGATTATGGGAGGAATTCAATTTAGCACTATGGCAATCATTCAGCCTGTGGTAGTTTTTCATCTCGCCAGACTAAGCAATCCCCCCCCTTCTGATGCACTTGTTTTTGGGGTTCTCCTGACCTCCCTTTTAGGGTATGCACAGGGGGAAGGGGAGGGGAAGTCCTGATATGCTAGGCTTCTGATAGCAGGACTTGAATTCTGCCCAAAAATTTCCTATGTAAATATATATGGTGGAAATGCCCCCTGCCTAATAAATAAAATGCCTAATTTTTACTCCTGGGTGTAGTGCAAAACATGGTGAAAATGTTAGCTTTGTGATGCAGTCTAATATGTAACAGCTCTTTCCTATCTAGTGTGATCAAGTTTAAGCATTGTGAGATTGCTCTAGAGAACTAATCTTATTATAGAAACCTAATTGAACTACCATCTTCATTTTGTAGGGAAGGAAGAAGCCCACAGCATTCCGCAATACAAAACTGATCCCCATGGAAACCTCTTCATCCTCTGATGACAGTTGTGACAGTTTTGGCTCTGATAATTTTGCAAACACGGTAAGTAAAAAGTGCAAGAATAAACAGAATCGAATGTGCGGTGCTGAAAAATGCCCCATCCGTGATTAAAATGCTTTGCTTACATTTCTATACAGCAGTTATGAATATACAGTATGTACTGTAATTTCATTTCGCTTTTCCCCTTGTGCTTCTAGGTAGTAATTGTTGGAGGTAGATTAGCCACTTATTCTATCCTTTTGAAATGTCGCCTAACCTAACATGCCTGATGATTTGCTGTAACAGCTCTGAAACCATTTGTAAACCCCCTGAAACATTTTTCTTTGTTACAAAAGCTATTCTCTTGTAGTGCACTTGTAAAATGTGATTTGCTCTCTGAACAGTTTATGGAAAATAGGCTCTCTTGAAAAAAAAGAGAGAGAGAGCAAGAAAGAAAAAAGAGAAACACCTAGTGTACTTTATTCTTTTTTAAAGAAACGGAGCTTCAAGCCACAAGTTGCAGAGGAAATAGCAAAAATATTTTATGAGGATTCGGATGATGAATCATTCTGTGGTTTTTCAGAAAGTGAGATTCAGGATGTGCTGGTGAGTTGTACAGTTTAACTTGCTAATTGCATTCACACTGCATGTGCATGCTGACGCCAAAATAATACTCTGCAAGCTAATGCATGATGATTGACTAAAGCTACAATCCTAATCTCACTTACCTGGGAACAAACCCCATTGAATTCAGTAGGACTTAGTTCTGAGTAGACATGGTTAGGATTGTGCTGTAAGTTTGGGAATCGAGAGCCAGCAATTGATTGCACACGGAAGCAGTCTGCTCCCTTGTTCAGCTTAAATCAAATAATATTGGCATTTGTAGCAAACTGCTTTGGGCAGCCAATCCCAGTGAGACTAGCTGTCCTGCGATGATCAGCTGATTGGTGCTCACAGAAAGCCTCACTTGGCCAAGAAGTAATCAGGTGTGCTCTTTATGGCTCTCAGTTGTCCTTTTCCAGCCCACACCTGACTTCACATTTAATTATCGTTTATTGAATTTGTCAGTCGCTTTATCTTGCCCAGGGCAGCCTAAAGCAGTTTACGACGAGACAGACAGACAGACAACAACCCACATAGATAAATTAAAACCTAGAGGAAAAGAAATATATTAGATCACCCCCAACCACTTTTCGAAGGCCACAGGCTTGGTTATAGAAGAAAGATTTTGCCTGGCGCTTACATATATATAATGATGGCATCAGGAGAGATGATGAGAGAGCGTTCTACAAATGAAGCCACCGCAGAACAGGCCTGTTCTTGTGTTGCCCAACCCTCCAGGCTTCTCATGGAGGTGGTACACAAAGGGCTTCAGGGTGAGCGTGAGGCTTGCCAGCTGGTAGAAAGAAGCTTTTTCGGCTGTGGCTCCAATCTGGTGGAACGCTCGTGTCACAAGAGACTAGGGCCCTGCGGGACTTGACATCTTTCCGCAGGACCTGCAAGACAGAGCTGTTCCACCAGGCCTTTGGCCAGGGCACTGCCTGACTCCCTCCATCGGCAATCTTCGTGGAGCTCTGGCCCAATGGTTGCCATTGGTTTGATTTGAATTAATTTTATAATGAATGATTTTAGAGTGTTGTGCTGTACTGTTTCATTGTTGTTAGCCACCCTGCGCCCGGCTTCGGCTGGGTAGGGCGGGATATAAATAAATTTTATTATTATTATTATTATTATTATTATTATTATTATTATCGGCTGGGTAGGGCGGGATATAAATAAATTTATTATTATTATTATTATTATTATTATTATTATTATTATTATTAATTTCTCTGCCATATGCAGCCCTGTGTTGGATATGAGGCTGCTCTTTACTAAAGAAAAAAGGTTTTAGAAATAATGATATCCCATGAGGGCTGGTAGGTGTTCTTGTGGAGACTTGCGAGCATAGGGTGGTATACCACTACTACTACTACTACTAATAATAATGATGATGATAATAATGTGATTTGATCGCTCTGTTGTGGTTATATGCAGCATTGCAGTTTCCCTGTTTTTCTATTTTGGGTCTTCCAAAATAGAAATTTTGGCTTCGGGCCTTTTAAAAAAAATAGCAAAATCACTCTGAAGGGAGAATGAGGTGACTTCCTCAAAACCAGGTTTATGTACAGTGCTTTCTGCCAGCTAACCTTGGTTGTTGATGTAAATGCACTTGAATTTGGAATGGTTCTGAGAAGCCATAATTGAGATGGTGGATCCTGTGGCAACCATAACTAACTATTGATTTCACAACTCCCATTTTTTTAAAAAACCCTGAATAGAAACTGGATACAGACTCGGAGGAAAACATGAGCGACGGAGATAAATTTTCATGTAAGAGGCCACGGAAGTGCTCTGTTCCCCTTAAAGTCGCTATGAAGTTTCCACTTCGAAGATCTAAGAGGGGGAAGAGTGAAATAATTTTAGCCCCGGAACCTCCCTCCGAACTGGAATTGGACTCTGATTCCGATGAAGAAAGAGGCCCAAAATTCTTAGAGAAAAGGGCTTTAAATATAAAGGAGAATAAGGCCATGGTAGGTACAAAGAAATGTTCTCATGCATGTTGAATTGTTGCTGTTTTTCTTGACCAAGTTGTAACATAATTCTCATTTGAAATGAGCTAGAGTTCCATTGCATTAATAAAAACATGTGCCTCTTCCTAATACTCCATTTGCACATGGTATTCTACATGCCACTCCATTCAAAATATTTTTACCAAGTTTTATTTGTTACTATTCTTAGAAAAGTTCTGAAATTGCAATCAAGTGACTTGATTTGAAATAGGATTTACCCAACCACATACCTAGTGCTGTCCATCTTCCTGGTTGAAAGAACCTCTTAAATAGCCCTTGTACACTTTCTGAATGATTAGTCTCAGGCTGGACTCCCATCAGGAACCAGTTCCAAAAGGCTTCAGTGAAGAAGGGCTGGCTCTGCTCAAATGTATCTCTGAGTCACACACACACACAACATAATTGAACACGTCTCACTCCCCACCCCATTCAGAAAAGCCCTTCCACTGGTGAACTCAGAGTCTGCCACTTGAAAATAAAGTGGTACCTCGGGTTAAGAACTTAATTTGTTCTGGAGGTCCGTTCTTAACCTGAAACTGTTCTTAACCTGAGGTACCACTTTAGCTAATGGGGCCTCCCGCTGCCACCGCACTCAATTTCTGTTCTCATCCTGAGGTAAAGTTCTTAACCCGAGGTACTACTTCTGGGTTAGCGGAGTCTGTAACCTGAAGCTTCTGTAACCCGAGGTACCACTGTAGATACAGGAGGGCCACCAACCTGGTGCCTGCTAGCACTGGCTTGGCCATCCTTGGTGAGATGTTTCTGAATTAACGTCCCGTCAAAATCCCATAGTAGCATAAACTTCCTGACACGAAACCACTTACATTCTATGTTCCCTTTTACAGCTTGCAAAACTAATGGCAGAATTAAAAAACGTGCCTGGAATTTTTACAAGGAAAGGTCCCCTGGCAACTCCAACCTTGGTAAGTCGCAATCATTTACTTCTTGTTGTTTTTAAAAAGTCATTTACAGATTACAGTGGTACCTCTGGTTACAAACTTAATTTGTTCCGGAGGTCCATTCTTAACCTGAAGGTACCTGAGGTACCAATGTAGCTAATGGGGCCTCACACTGCCGGCGCACAATTTCTGTTCTCATCCTGAGGTAAAGTCCTTAACCCGAGGTACTAATTCCGGGTTAGCGGAGTCTGTAACCCAAAGTGTTTGTAACCTGAGGTACCACTGTAACTTGATAAGCCAAATGCAGCCAATTCCAGTTCCTTAGAACTTAACTGTGTGATAAAACATGCTGCTACCTGCTATTACTAGTTGTTTTTTTTAATTGGTCACTCCCTAATACTTCAGTTCAGTTAAAAGCACCTGCAAGTCTTTATATCTAAAACAAACAAAGCAAAGTCCTGTTCAGTTGCATATTTTACCTACGCGCTTGCGTGAGCGCACCCCCAATAAAAATGAGTCTAAAGTTCAAATAATTGATCTCCTGAATTGTGCAAACAGTATTTGGATGATAGTCAACGGACACTGAGGTCTGCTTTGTATGCTTAAGCCCATTGATTTTGATGGTGTGGTGGTTGGGGTTGTGCAGTACAGTGGTACCTCAGGTTAAGTACTTATTTCGTTCCGGAGGTCCGTTAGCGGAGTCTGTAACCTGAAGCGTATGTAACCCGAGGTACCACTGTACACCAGTAAAGCCAATGCAGTGTTACTACCTATGCCACTGCCCTGACCTTGCCACTGCCTTTCCCCTCACTGTTCTGGTAAGTGGCAGCGATGCTGCTTTTGGGAGACTATTGCCTTTGCTCTGCCCCACTGAGAAAGCAGCTGGGAAGCTGGAAGTCTGTATTCCATTCTGAGGCCTCATGTGAATACCTGTAGTGGAGGGACTTTTCTTCTGTGCATGAGTTTGTGAGGCAGAGAAGGAAATACATTGAAACTGTAAGACCGTTGTGGTTTTCTCACTTCTGCCAATACTCAACCATATGCCATTGTTCCTTGATTTCCCCTTGCTTCCTCCAGCTTAGTTTGTCTCATATTCCGCTGATCGTGAATTGAGCCCATTTAGTACAGCATGGGACGCGGGTGGCACTGTGGTCTAAACCACTGAGCCTTGGGTTTGCCCATCGGAAGGTCAACGGTTTGAATCCCCATGATGGGGTGAGCTCCCGTTGTTTGGTCCCAGCTCCTGCCAACCTAGCAGTTTGAAAGCACGTCAAAGTGCAAGTAGATAAATAGGTACCGCTCCGGCGGGAAGGTAAAAACAGCGTTTCCGTGCACTGCTCTGGTTTGCCAGAAGCAGCTTAGTCATACTGGCCACATGACCCAGAAGCGGTACTCCGGCTCCCTCGGCCAATAAAGCGAGATGAGCACCGCAACCCCAGAGTCGGCCACGACTGGACCTAACGGTCAGGGGTCCCTTTACCGTGGTTAAAGAACCCTAACCATGATTCAGTGTGGTATCTAGTTAATGTCTTCAGAAGTTGCCCTGCTCCAGAGGGGAAGCTGCATCAGAGAAGCAGGAATGCTGAGTGGCTGGAAAGTGGAAGCCAGTCCATGGTTTGGGTTCTGAAGTACAGCCAGCACAAACCATAGTGTCTGGTTCCTTACACTTTTAACTTGATCACTGAGATCTTCCAATGAGGGTACTTAACCCATGCTCCTAAGGTCTGGTCGGCCTTTCCAAGGAGTGTGGAATGCCCTGCCAGTAGAAGTTGGGAAGGAATCATCCCTTGTTTCCTTTAGATAGGGGCGGTCCAACTTTTCATACCAACTTGGCTGCAAGAGTACTTCAACATGGAAGCCGTGGGCTGCACACGGGCTTGTTGCCCAGGGGTGGAAGGAGCAGGGCCAAAATTTGACACCCACACCAAGCCCTTGTGCTGCCTTCCCAAAGCCGGCCAAGTGAGGTCTCGGGGTTTGAGAAGGGGGCACAGGGCTCCGGCAGGGTCCTAGAGCCCTCCCAGCTCCCTTCTAAAGTTGGGAAAGTGCTAACTCTCCTTTGGAAAGGTAGAGGGAGAACTATAGGACCCTGTCAGAGCTCTCACACCTCATTCCTAAAGCCCAGTGCCTCACTTAAGGCTTTGGGAAGGCAGCACAAGGACTTGGGGGGTGGGTTCAAATGTTGCTGAGGGCTGCCAAAAAAGGCACTGAGGGTCATGTGTTGGACCAATTGTTTTAGATGTCTTTTAAACCCGGTCCTGTTTAGACAGGCCTTCAAAATGTGTTTCCCCCACCACCAACCAGTCATTATTATTATTTATTTTACTATACTAGTATGTTTTTATGTTAACTGCCTTGTTATGTGTTTTTTTTCTTACGCCTTTTCTTATGTTTTTATTCCAAACATGCATTTTTTAGATATTTAAGTAAATGATGCCTGAATTGAGGTTTAGGCTGCAGTGTTGTGCACACTTACCTGGGAGTAAACTTCATTGAACATGGTGCATTAAAATTGTGCCTAGAAATGCAGTTAGAGCTGTAGCTAAGAGATGGAAAACCAATGAAAATTTTATTTCTGTATGGTGTGCTTTGATGATTTTTTGGTCCTTTATTCCAGAAACCGCAGCGATCTCCAAGGAAATCATTTCCCAGGCGTTCTTTAAGGAGGAATCCAGAAAGAAATGCCAGGCCTCACACAAGATCCAGGTCCCTGATCGAAGGTCCTCCAAGCCCTGTTTCGGAGAAGGAGGAGGAGGATCCGTACTACTTAGTGAGAAGGAAAATGTCTGATGAATACTCTGAGGTCTGAGTTGTTGATTTTATTCTAATTTAGAGCGCATGAAGTGGTAGAAACCTCTAAAATATAAACTTCACCTGGGTGGTTCAAATGCAAATTAAAGTTCAGTTTTAATTACAGTGGAACCTTTGTTCTCGAACGCCTTGGTACTCAAACATTTCGGCTCCCAAATGCTGAAAACCCAGAAGTGTGTGTTCCGGTTTTCGAACGTTTTTCGTAAGCCGAATGTCCAATGCTGCTGTCAGCTATTGTTCCCGGGGCGCCTGCGCCAATCAGAAGCCACACCTTAATTTTTGAACGTTTCGGAAGTCAAACGGACTTATGGAACGGATTATGTTCAAGAACTAAGGTACCACTGTATAAGCATTGAAGAATACATAACTAATTAAGCAATGAAGACCACAGTGAGCCGAACAAATGAGACAACAGATGTTGAGAGGGGCATACATTCCCAGAGTTGGACGTGATTGGGTTGGTTCTCATACATAGCACTGTTCACAACATTTCCGGCAAAACAGAAGTCCTTGGAGGAAGCGCATAGAAATGATTCCTTCTGTTGTGTCATCCTGCTGTCATTCATGTGGCCGCTTGACTTCTGCAGAGAGGGTGTGTTAGTGCAAGTTCCCCTACTACTTCTCCATGCAGAGAAGAGCAAGTTGAAGGATGGATGTATCGGAAACTCATTGAAACCACTGCATATGTGTTACTGGCGAGGGTTTTTGTGTGTGTGTGTGTGGCTTAGCTTGAGAAATATTTAATTTGATGTGTTTGCGCTTTTCTACAGGATGAATCGGACGGTCCCAGAAGAAAAAGTTCTATGACTCTCCCCCACGTTATCCGCCCAGTGGAAGAAATCAGTGAGGAAGAGTTGAATGGTATCTGTGAGAGTGCAAGAGATAAAGTGTATAATCGTGTGACGGTAAGAACGCCGGCGTTGTGCCAGCATATTCATTTGCTCTGCCCAGATAAAATGAAGTTTAAATGTTCTGTGTGAGTAGGCAATAGCCCCTTACACTTAGAAGTTTCCCCGCTCCTTATTCCAAAACCGAGAAGCTCTTTCTGGCAGGGCTGCGCAACTTGCTGCTAGGCTCCAAACCATCAGCTCCAGCTACAATGAGCAGCGGTCTGGACTGATGGGAGTTGAGGCCCAACAGTGTCCAAAGGGCCACAGGTTTCCCACCCGTCTTATGGGAGAGTCACCGACCCTTTGCAGATGATCATTAAGATTAACAGGGCAACTTGGAGCTGTAGGAAGGGGAGAACGAGGCATGTAGCTCTTCTTTATTTGCTTTTTGTTGGACAAAGATGGGGAATGTCTGGCCCACCCAGCGGCCAGGTTTGGCCTACCAAGCCACACCCCCTGCTCTACACCTGATGATATTTCATTGGGGGGGGCAGTACAGTGGTACCTCTGGTTAAGAACTTAATTCTGGAGATCCATTCTTAACCTGAAACTGTTATTAACCTGAGATACCACTTTAGCTAATGGGGCCTGCCACTGCTGTGCGATTTCTGTTCTCATCCTGAGGTAAAGTTCTTAACCCAAGGTATTACTTCCGGGTTAGCGGAGTCTGTAACCTGAAGCGTTTGTAACCCGAGGTACCACTGTACAATTTTGGCCAAAAAGGGTTTTTCAGGCATTGCCCATCATTAGTCCCTGTAACCACCCACAACACTCTGTTGTACAGCATTTGGGCAGCACCCCGCCTTCAGAAGTATCCATCACCTGACGTTAGTTGACCTAAGAGGATCTGTGAATATGTAGCACCTCTGGATTTGAGGCTAGTAATGTCCTTAATGAATAGAGCATGTTGTTCAGATATAATGCCAAACCATGTTTTGGAAATTTTTATGAATCATGAATCATCCCTGTTCTTCTGCACTCTTCAGTTCCCACCTGAATTTCCATTTTAGTGGCTGAATTGCACGTAACCTGTGATTTGCTACTGAGTCAGACAGTGAGGTAGGGAAATGGGGAGGAAGAAGAAGAAGGAAGAGTCCAGTTTCATTTGCCCTCGTCGTTCTTTTTGCAGGGTTCCACTTGCCATCAGTGTCGGCAGAAGACTATAGACACCAAGACAAACTGTCGCAATCCAGAATGTTTGGGGGTGCGTGGTCAGTTCTGTGGGCCTTGCCTACGCAACCGCTATGGAGAAGAAGTCAGGACTGCTTTGCTGGATCCGGTAAGATAAAACTTACCGTATTTTTCGCTCCATAAGACCCATTTTTTTCCCCCTCCTAAAAAGTAAAGGGAAATGTCTGCACGTCTTATGGAGCGAATGTGTGGTCGATTGCTGGCTCCCGTTCTGGCCCCGCCCCCTTGCCCAGGCCTCCATTGTTGAATGTTCTGCAGACGGAGGCTGTTCATTTCCCCAGTGACATGTGATTGGCTGATTAGATTATCTGTCTGGAAACTGTAGAAACTGCTCCCTTTCCTAAAGAAGCTGCAGAACTGTGAGTTGAACCCCATAAAAACAGGATTTTTTCCCTTTGCAAAGTAAGCTCAATAACTTTGGGCTGATCCTCCAAAAATTGAGGCTTTTCCCCTTTGCAAAAGAAGCTGCACAACTGTGAGCTGATCCCCCCCCAAAAAAAACAGAGCTTTCCTCTAAAAACTAGGTGCATCTTATGGTCAGGTGTGTCTTATTTGACGGAGTGGCAGTGTCAGGGACTGGCTGAATGAGGAAGAGTGCTGGGAGCTGCCCACCCAAGAACCCACCTCATGGATGGGTTCTTAGATGACGTCTTAGACCCCAGATCCTGATGGTGGGACACTTGAGGAGCAGTCTGGGGAAGAGATGATCTGGGAGGTGCTAGAAGCAAGGGGGAGGCAGGAAAAGGAGGCCCTTCTAGGTCAGGATTAGAGGCTGAGAGTCACAGTGTGAGGACAGAGAGGAGGCAGAGGTTGCCTTTGCTATCCAGCGGCAGGATCCTCCCAGTCTACTGTGATGTTATTTTCCATTAATAAAAATTGCATTCCATACCTCCTGTTCCCGCTGGTGAATGACTTTGGGCTCGCTTGACAGGGGAGGGTTCACAAAGAAATCATTCATGCTTCCGTGTTTTGTTTAATAGATGGGTGCTTTAATGTTACAATCCAAAGCAGCGAGTCGTTCCAGAATTACTATAAACACATTCCTTCCCCTCTCTTCTTTCTCCCTCTTTTAGGACTGGCATTGCCCACCTTGCCGTGGCATCTGCAACTGTAGCTTCTGCAGGCAGCGGGAAGGACGATGTGCTACAGGTGTGCTTGTTTACCTGGCCAAATACCATGGCTATGACAACGTCCATGCTTACTTGAAAAGGTAACTTAGGGTTTCTCGCTTTTCCACCCAACTCTCCTGTCTTTTGTAGGAGTTTTCATTTATTTATCAACTGACAAAAGGTTCTCTGAGCTATTTGCGCCTAAGCAGTTGAACCCACAGGTACCGTATTTTTCGCTCCATAAGACGCACCGTTTCCCTCCTAAAAAGAAAGGGGAAATGTGTGTGCATCTTAACGGAGCGAATGCAGGCGGGAGGCTCTGCTCAGCGCTCCCTTTAAAGAGCCGCGTGGAGTGTGTCAGTCCCTTCTCCCTCCTGGGGAAAAGCCCCCAAGAGCCGCAAACATGCTCCACGCGGCTCTTTAAAGGGAGCGCTAAGCAGAGCCTGTATGCATCCCAGGCTCTGCTCAGCGCTCCCTTTAAATAATACTTTTTTCTGGCATTCCCCCTCTAAAAACTAGGTGCGTCTTAAGGAGCGAAAAATACGGCTGAAAAATAAAACAATAAGGAGTGGAATCTGTAGAGAATAAAGCCCAGAGTAAAATGCACAGCAAAGAATAAAAGCAGTACAAAATACCTTGAAAAGTTTTTAGGATGGTGAAGATGGGGAAAGGTTTTCACCTTTACCAGGCATACCTGTCTGAGGAAGGCCATTCTATTACTTGTGTAACCACTGAAAAGGTCCCTCCTTCCTCATAACCACCTTTTGCACTCGGGGCACCTAGAGAATGACCTCGGAGGGTTATCGTTAGGGCTGCGTGCATGTTCTGCTGGCTGTAAAATTCAGTCTATTAGTCTGGTTTCGTTTGCTTTCGTTATGCAAATGGCAGTCTGTTTGGAGGGCGCAAACAGATTGGTGAATGGCGTGGATGATTTGCAGAAGGCCCCAGTTTCAGTCCACTCTCTACAAATGAGAGCCATGAAAAACAAAGAGCTGGGAGGATGGGTTTTTCACTAAATGCCGGGTTAGATTATTGGTGATCTTTGTTTTTGTTTATAAATAATAATTCCACCCTTTTTAAATCAAATTTACAGCCTGAAACAAGAACTTGAAATGCAAGAATGAAAATTGGACGTGGTTCTATGGTCATTGGCAAAACTGACTTTAAGGTGGTTTGTTTGTTTTGAAGGTGTTGGTTGCTGTTTTTTAACCAAGCATTCATTTTCCCCCAAGTTTTAAGAACAAAACCCTTTGTGGCATTTGACTGAAGTTCCACATTACGGGGTGTGGATTTCTAATTCCGTTAGGTAGCAGTTTTCCTTTCATGCTGGATGCAATTAGTTGTTACGTGTGTTAAGCCATAGTGTGGCTTTACACAAGGGTTGAAGCTTGCAGAAAGAGATGCGTATGGTTGAATTTTCCTGAATCTCACTAAGCGAAGCAGCAGGTGGGGTGAATCTCCGCACAACTTAAGGGATTTACATGGTTAAATGTATATCTTGCAGTCTGGAGCTGCTGCCATCACAATATTAGTTCATCCTTTAGGGGTTTCTTTTTAGATTTAGCAACAAACCAGACAAATCGGGAATCTGACTAGAAATACTGTTAGTCTTAACGGATGTTGCAGGAGAAGATAGCAGTGACAAAGGTGACATTTTCTAAACTGAAAGTTTTGGTGGGGGTTGAGCCGCTTTGCATCTAGAGCTATAAAGGTACAGTTTATCCTTCATGCTCAAGAAAGCAATTAGTTGTTTTTATCCATCATAAAGTATGGTATGAATAGATTAATAAACGTTATACAGTGCTCCAAATAGTAGATTTAAAAAAGGATGAACAAACTTAGCTGCTGATAACGTCTTAAAAGTTCTTAAAGCCGCTGTGTTGCTGCGGGCTTGATCTGAAATATGTGATGGAAAACCATGTATGTCTTAAATTTGGGGTGATTCATGCAGGAGCATGTCCTTTTAACCCATCTCATGCATAATGTCTAACATAGAGCTTATTGTGTGTGGGATCTTGCACATTGCATGAACAGGGGATACAGTTATATATGCTTAAGCCTTGCATTGTACTTTATGCTGTCTGGGTGATAAGCCAGCAGCTTGCTCTCATGCTCATGGTATGTGTCTATAGCTCATCCACGCAAGGGACCAGGTTGCTGAGCGTAGACTGATCTAGAAGCTGATAGTCCTGTATGTTTCAAAGTGCATTTAGTTAATAGGCCACAGGACTTCCGCTTCAAACAGTTAATAATGGCTACAAAATTTCACACTGATACGGACTCTTGTACAACAGGCGGGAATTGTGTTCCTAAACCTTAAAGTTGCTTGAGAACATAAAAGGTTTCATTTTGGTAGGACAAAAGCAACTTGCCACTTAGTTGTTGCTTGTAACACCGTACTGCCTGCAGTTGTCTACATGTGTGGCACTGTAAACTAAAAATGGTTGCTGAAAACCTTATTCCTTGTGTGGATAGGATGTGGGGGCAGGGTTGCTATCCAATCATACATTTTTGGAAGGTAAAAATCTGCTATTTTGCATCTACTTTTTTTTTTTGACATGGATATAAAATTCTCACATGCGTTCTGCTTTTCCAACCTTTTGTAGAAGTTCCTCTATCATACATATAAAACCTAGTTCAAAACCTGTTCAAAGATGCTTTTGTATATATGCTAGATCCCATGCAATGTCTGCTCTAGCTTTCTTCAAGCATCGCAAAAGACTACTGTTAGTTATGCATACTGTAAATGGATCCTGTGATCTACAGAGCTCTTATGTACAGAGTGTAGTTTTGATAATAAAAACCTTGCCTCGAAATAATTACCGTTCTCTTTTTAAAAAACGTTTCTGCACATGGTGATTTGTGTCACTAGCATTGCGCTGTATTGTCTAATGCACATGTGCTTCTGTGTGTGTGTATGTCAAGGTCTCAGTTCATTTCAGCAAAAGACACTAAATGTTCTGTGTGTTCACAAAAGCAATTCTAGGTCCACAGATGTTTTGGGGCTATAACCTCCCTCCCCACACGTCGAGATTATGGGAGCTGTAGTTGAGCAGCATCTGTGGACCAAAGCTCAGGAAGGCTGACAAAGGAATGCGCAGCTCGGCTCCCCCAAGAGAGAAGCCTTGCAAATAGGGGAGCTCTTGTCTACATCTGCATAATCAAGGCGTTAAGGAGACTGTTAGCAGTGGTTGGAATTGGAGCAGTTGTGCATTTATTTGGCTCTTCCAGTTCAGTTGTTTACAGTACAGGCAACACCGTTTTAAATGTGTTGTGCAAGCGGGGAGGATTATTGTTCTTTCACTAATTATGTATTTTTTTCCTATTGTAATTTATGTTGTGAACCGCCTGAGATCTACGGGAAGAGTAAACCAATTTTATAATAATAATAACAGCAGCAGCAGCTTTGGTGTTTAACTGATTCTTAACAGGCAAGAAGAGAAAGCCCCGCATTCTTAACACTACTTGAGAATGTACAGTTAGATGTAGCAACACAATGTTCGCAGCCTTAAAAACAACAACACAAAAATACACCCCCAAACCATGCTGTGTTGTGCATGCACACAGTCTCACTTCAGGGAGGGAGCAAGCAGGGGATGGAACGGAAATGCCGAAGAGTTTTGGGGAAATTAAACTCAAGCAACATCACACACTTAAAAGCAAAGCAACACCAGCAAGAATCCATTTAGCTGGCCTTTCCCTTGATTTTAAATGGAAAGTGCACACGTAAGTGGAGCCCCTTAGTTTTGTCTTATACACTGGGCATTCGTAAATGTTCCTTGTCTCTTGCCTGTCGTTGGGGATGGCTCTTACAAACACAACAGGCATAGCCGCTGTCGGTGCTTTCAGGCAAGCTTCAGCTACGTGACCCCCCTGAACATCCCAGCAAGCACCTGTCAATAATTAAAATTGAGAGAAAGGGGATTTAGCCATCAATATTTCTCTTCCCCAAACAATGCAGTTTTATAAATAAAACCCCTTAATTCCTTTGTTGGTCTCTTTCAGAGCACGTTCATCTTATATTTAGTAATGTGTGCCCCTTTGCCACCCAACACCTGTTAACGGATAGGGTTGTATAATGCATTCAGACAGGACTCATTTGCACTGGAAGGTAACCAGCACTCCTAGAATCATGGGTAGGCAAGCTAAGGCCGGGGGGCCGGATCCGACCCAATCGCCTCCTCAATACGGTCCGGGAATCTCTGTGTTTTCGCATGAGTAGAATGTGTCCTTTTTTTCAAAATGCACCTCTGGGTTATTTGTGGAGCCTGCCTGGTGTTTTTACATGAATAGAATGCCCTTTTATTTAAAATGCACCTCTGGGTTATTTGTGGGGCATAGAAATTCGTTCATCCCCCCCCCCCAAATATATATGGTCCGGGGCCCCCCCACAAGGTCTGAGGAACAGTGGACTGGCCCCCTGCTGAAAAAGTTTGCTGACTCCAGCCGAGAATGAATGCCAGCCTTGTAGTGTGTCTTGTGGAAAATTCCTACTATGAGCTGACCAAATAAAACAGCCCCCAGCGTGTAGGAATAAAAGGTAAAATAATCTCTGGATAAACTCTTTGTAGAAGCAGAACACAAAGGGTAGGAGCCACCAACCCAAAGCCCTGCTGGGGTAGTTTTTTCATCTCCCCTTTCATTTTCCTGTTGGACCCCATCTCTGACCCCAGAAGAGGAGGGCTTTGTATTTCATGGACCCAAAGCTTCCCCACCCCATTGTGGGCAGCCACAGAAGTTTCCATCATATTTACATACCTCTTGCATGTGAAAAATGGCTTCTAAGCGGTTTACAAGCAAAGAATTATACCCACACTACTAAAATAATAACGCAATAAAACAATTCAGTCGAGACATTTTTACTACTATTCTCCATGAGTGGATCCATCTGCAAAAATCTGTGGCCCTAGAATACTCTCAAGGACCATAGGATTGCACCCTAAAAAAGGCTGGGAACGAGTCCATAAAAGTTATTGCCGTACCAAAAAAAGGCTTATGAGCCTTTGGCAGAAGGGCTGAAAGCTGTGTCCTGTGTTTTGATGCTAGGTGCACTGCATGGGGGACTGTTTGATGCAGAGGAGTCACCTGTGGCTAACAGGCTAGTGCTTCAACACAAAGTTGCATTATGAAAGGTGAGAAACGTGGCCATGAAAGGAAAAAGTGAAGGAGCAGCTGAGAACTCCTAACTCTGACTTGAAGGCAATAGGGAGGTGGCTCTATTTTAAAAAATAATGCCTTAACAAGCTTTTCAGATAAACATCCCATAGCTTCTGATGCCGCCATTTTTAAGCAGTTGCAAATCCTTGCAAGTCACTTACCTTCCAAGTACAAGCCGTGTATGTATGCCCCTTCTCTAGCAGGCTGCGTAAACTCCTCTTTGTATTTTTTGGTGACGTCCACCGTTATGTGCATCTTATCCAAAGGCCATTCGTTTTTATGGGCGAGGCTCTGCATGACAGCTGAAATAAAAGCGCAGAGACACCAGATGAGCTGAGCAAGTAAAATGAGGAAGAACATGTGCTCCGCATGCAAGATGTTGCCTAGGTTCATTCCTAGCATGTCAAGTTAAAAGTAAATCTTGTGGAGCCGGGGGAAGGACTGGAAATGGTATTGCGGCCTGAGAACCAGGACTCTAGTCATAGACACCACTGCAGTAGATTAGGGATGGGGGACCTGCAGCCTTCCAGATGTTGGGCCTCCCTGCTTCCTTCAGCCCCAGTCATTGCAGCCCAGGGGTGATGGGGATTCTAGCGTGTCAATATCTGGAGGCCTACAAGTTCCCCATCATTGCCCTAGGTCAGGGGTCTGCAACCCGCGGCTCCGGAGCCGCATGTGGCTCTTTTACACCTTTGCCCTGACACTCCCCACTGTGGCGGGCGCTGTACTGGCTGTGACGTCCCATGGGGGCTGTGCGTGCGTTAGTCACGCACTGTCCCGACGTCACCTTCCCGGTTTTGCGGCTCCCAGTTTTTTTTCTTCGGAAACGGGTCCAAGTGGCTCTTTTTGTCTTAAATGTTGCAGACCCCTGCCCTAGGTGGACCACAGACTTGACTTGATACATAAAGTAGCTTCATAAGATCAATGGAACCAGAAATCATTCCTTTTCGTCCGGCGTGGACAGGTTTAGACCAGCTTTCTTACAAAGTTCAGTGAAAAGAAAGGGACAGACCCGGAAAGCGCTTCAGAAGCACCACAAAAAGGTTTCCTTGCCGCCATTTTCTTTTTAGCCTAATGTCAAACATACCAAAACTACACAGAGAAATGGCATCAGGCAATGGTGGGGCAGTGACAGATTGGATGTTGCTCTTAGCATGGCGACAGCCAGTTGACAAAGATGGCCACACGGCATGTTTGAATTGTCCATCCCCCACAAGAAACTGCCACACTGAAAGCTCTGCTCTGATATGGCTTTCCATAGGCTGGTTCAGGACTAAAGTCCAGGGGCCAACCACATGTCAATGGGGACAGAGTCAACTAGCACACTTGGGATTCCTTGCACCTGGTAGCCAGAGGCAAACAATGGCTGCTGAACAGAGCCATCTCTAATGTAAGGGAGCATTTGACAGTCTTGCATGCAGTGATGGGACAAGTTGGGCAAGGATTACTGTATTTTTCCATGTGTAAGACGACCCCTATTTTTTCTGAACCCATAATTAAGAAATCTGTATCTTAAACATCAAGCAGAACTACTTTGATATTATCTTAAAATATTCAGCATGCTGGTATATTTATTACCATATATTTAAACATCAGTGGCAGTCAAGGAAGTTGGCCAAAGTTGTTGAGGTTTTTTGGGTGATCACAAGCTCTCTCCCACATCCACCACCACTGATCCTGGGCTGCCCATGCCAGAACCTGAACCCGAGCCCAGGCCACCCACACCAGAGTCCGAGCCCAAACCCCTTTGCCTTCGCCATCCGTGTATAAGACAACCTCCGATTTTTGACTAATGTTAAAAAGCAAAAAACCATTGTCTTACACACAGACAAATACGGTATTATCATGCCGGGTTTCTGAACTTGATGCTTGGGTATCAGTGCTAAAAAAAAACAGCTGACGTTTCCATTGCAAGGTAGGTCTTTTACCATGAAAACTGGGCTTACATTGCAATAAATTATGGATCAAACACTAAATGCAGATTTGTGGGTGCCAGGGATTGCACCAGCCCACAGTGTACTGAGAGCTGCTTGCACAGGAAATTAAGCTCCAGCCGCCACAACTATCAGAATTAATGCCTATGCTGATTTGAGAATAAAACATTGCTTTGTCCCACAGAGTCTTGAATTAAGCAGCTATGTCTTGAAGCTGGAATACAGCTAAATGGATTATTTGTACCCAAATGACAAAAAAAAAAAAAGACTAAACTTGCTTTGGGTAGCTGTCTCTTGAAAGCGGCACCCCCTCCCTTTAAAATAGGCTTATGCTATGTGACATGGAAGTGTGCTATTCAGAGGATGGCAAAAGGTTAAAATAATAAATCTTTCTGGTCCAGCCTAAGACCTTGTGCAAAGTAGTTTTTTTCTCACCCCATATTTTACACACACACACACACACACACACACACACACCCCTATTATATTTACTAACAGTATTTTAGCTTCTTTGCCATTGCTATTTCCTTTATTTCTCTTTCAATGGCATGTCCTTTTGACAACTTCGCGTTCAGCCATTATTGAGTGCCCCCTGATACAAATACAGTAAACCCTTCGTGAAATAATAATAAAAAAATCAATATAGTCACCGACATACTGTGTATTGAGGAAAATAATTGTTTATGGCACACAGCTTAAGCTGTGCTGGTAATCACGTTGAAAATACA